AGAGAGGCATTACTCTGTTAGCATCTGCTTATAAAATCTTCGGCTATGTATTGTTTAAAATACTTAAACATTTTACAAAGGATATTGTTGGTAAATATCAACGCGGATTTACTTCAAACAAGTCTAACAACTACACATCAAATTCTTTTAACAACTTTTAACTATATCAGTTAAAAACCGATTTAGGGATTGTGAAATTCGTTAAAATGCAGAGACTTAATTATGTTAAAATGCAGAGACGAAATTAACATTTTTAAAACCAGAGGGCACAAGAAGCAGAGGACGACCATGAAGGAGATGGATTGATGATGTGGAAGAAGACATACAGATTCTAAGGGTCAGAAGATGGAGGGAAGTTTCCAAGAATCGACAGTAGTGGCGACATTTTTGTGAGCAGGCCAAGATCCACAACGGATTGTCGAGCCCCTTATGATAATGATGAAGGAGAATTTAAAATATACAGAGAATTATTGAACGATGAAACAAAATTTCACGATTATTTTAGAATGTTTTTTTTTTGTTTGCTTTAATACATGTAAAAAAAACTATAACCCACTAACCGCACAACATCTATTGCTTGTCTGTTTACTAGCAGTGGCGTTTAAAACTATAAAGTAGATAGAACATCTCACTGTGTTGGCATTATTACTTTAAGAAAGGGAAGAGCAAGAGCAGAAAGGGTGAAAACAAAAAATATGTAGAAAAATAGACATACCGAAGGAGAATTCAAAATAGACAAAGAATTATTGGACGGTGACAAAAAATTCCACGAGTATTTTAAAACGTCGCAGTACTCTTTTTTCTTTTTCGTTTTTCTTTAATACATATAAAAAACCATAACCTACTACCCGCGTATTTCCTACTTCTCCGTTTGGCAGCACTCGTGTTTATACATGTCTGTGCGGTGTGTGTCAAGAGTACATTACTTTTTTTTTGTCGGGCACTGTCATAATACTGAACGGACACGGCACGAAAATGTATAAATCGATCTTAAATCGACCTTAATTGACCGGTCACTATGGAATTTCCATTGTTGTAGCCCAATCTTTGAGACATATTATACTATGAAATTTCGGTTTTAAGGTTTAGCAACAAACGTGATATATTTAAAATATGCTAAAAAAACGCTAAATTAAAACTTTCAGATTACAAACGATCTAAAACGTTTTAACCTGCTTCTTGCCGAATAAACAATTACGTTTTTCCAAACCATACAACTTTAGCTAAAAATTACATCAAATACTGTCTTCGTGAAGACATCTCCTGTGAGGTTCGATCGTTAGTAATGTGAAAGTTTAAGATCTGCATTTTTAAGCATATTTCAAATGACTCATATTTGTTGCCTAAACTCAAAATCGAAATTTTATATTATAGTTTTTAAAGATTTGGATCCAATAATGTAAATTCTATTATGACTGCTCAATGGAATTAATACATTTTATTGATATCATGAGAATCGTAAAAAATGTCAAATATCGCGCAATAATTATTTATTGAACAGATTTATAAAAACTGACTTTGTTTGCGATAAAACAAAAAAATTGCATACATATGCTGCACTTTTCTCCTTTAAAATGCATTTTGATTTTTCTCAATGGGATACTTTGATCAAAATATATCGAATTTTTACCGTCGAGTTGATGCACATTTTATTTGAAATTGATTTCACCTACATAACTGACAATCGGCGTCGTCGGTCGTTTTAAGTCGCTGTTTCCGAGAGAATCATTTATTCTACACAAAAAGTAATAATAAATAATTTTGTTAAAAATTATCTCAGCTATATTGTTTAATTTAAGTTTTTTTTCTACGGCTTACAGATTCTTGATAAATGGATTTTCTCGCTCTACGAGAGGATGTTTTAGAGAAAAGTCAGGGGGCTAGAAGTCTAGAAGACGACTAGACTACACGGGCGAGTTTGACATTATACGAACAGAGAACATTAAGATGTTCGTTTATGGAATGCCAAAATCATGGATGACAGATGAGATCCTGAAACTAATGCACGAGAGAAGAGAAGCCAAAATGACCCAGACAAATATAAAACTATAAATATATTAATGAGACTCTGCAGTCAAAGTACGATAGTCATAATGTACATAGAAAAGTTAAAGAACTCACACTAAGACGAAGGCAGGAAGGAAATATAACTGATTCTGACGGAAACATTATCTTGGACAAACAGTCATCTCCTAAAATTGTTCCTAAAGATAATTCATAAGAGAATCTACAAGCTCTATTAAAGTCAAATTTCTCCCAACCAGTTCGAGTTCACAAATGCTGTTGGTACTAGAGAAGCTTTGTTCTCAGTACAAGTCTTATGTCAAAGATGCAGAGACGTTAGATGCAATATATACGCATATCTGGTTAATTACGAGAAATCGTTTGATCAAGTACAGCACGCCAAGATGATACAAATACTAAAAGAAGCAGAAATTAACAACCAAGATCTGAGAATAATTAGAAATCTTTACTAAAATCAGACAGCAAATCTCAGAGTTGAAGGTGAACACACTGACTATGGGAAAATCATGCATGGTGTGAGGCAAGGCTGTTTTTGTCTCCTCTAATCTTTAATCTGTACTTTTGAAAGAATATTTATCGAAGCTTTGCACGAAACTGAAATAGGTATTTTATTATACTAAATGGTTACCGGCTAAATAACATCAGATATGCAGATGACACCATAGTATTTGCGGACAACTTAGAAGACCTAAGAGTTCTTATGAACAATTTATTTATTTAGCGTATGGCTACATCACAGGTTCATATAAATATAAATATATAAATATAAATTATATAAATTACAAACAACAGTAAATATAAAAATATTATTCTACAAACAAACATCTAGATTATAAATATATTCTATTGACTCTTTTGTAGCAGCCAGGAAATCTGAAGGGTTGCCATTATAGGATCTAATCGGGCATTCCTCTACCATGTGTTTTACGGTTTGCCTTTCGGCGCCGCAGTCGCAATTTGGTGATTGTATTTTTCCCCTTCTAAAAAGTGAGTCTGAACATCTGCCACAGTTCGTCCTTATTCTATTAAGTGTGGTCCAAATTCGTCTCGGTTGGTTGAAGCCCTCAGGTTTGCTTGTAATACATGGCATGTTCCAGTTAGCTGGTGCAGCGTTATTCTCCCATTGTTCTCTCCACCGTTCAGTTACATTAAAGTTTTGATCTACTAGCCTTTTTGCTGTTTTTAGAGGCGGGTGTCTTGAACGGAGCCTATTTATGTCTCTGGCGGAAGTCCCGACATGGGAGCGGAGCTCAGGATCAGTACTGATTTTTGTAAATTCTCTGACAAGGGCATGTTCCCGGCGGATGGGTGGTGGAGCTATATGACTCAAAGCTGGTAACCAGTAAGTGGGCGTGGCCTTGATTGTGCCCGATATAGTTCGCATGGCTTGGTTAAGTTGGACATCAACACGGTGAGTATGTGGACTGTTTATCCATACTGGTGTACAGTATTCCGCTACGGGGTATACCAGTCCTAATGCTGTCGATCTAAGTGTGGGTGCTGAGGAGCCCCATGTAGTGCCGCAGAGCTTTTGCAGGATGTTGTTACGAGTTCGGAGTTTTGCAGCAGTCTTAGTAAGATGCTCTTTAAAGTTCAGCGTTCTGTCAAGTGTAACACCTAAGTATTTTGGGTGTTTATTATATTTAAGGAGTCTATCCCCAAAATTGATTTGAGGTTAATAGTTGGCCATCTTGTTGTATAAATGGAAGCAGGACACTTCTGTCTTAGTTGGATTGGGTTGCAATCTCCATTTGCGGAAATAATTGCCTAGGGCATTTAAATCGTTTGTTAGAATGCGTATGAACAAAATCACGTATTACAGTCAACAATATGGACTCAATATAAACGTTAAGAAGACAAAGCTTATGATAATTACCAAGAAAAGGATAACATAAGGTCAACTCTACGTCAACCGATCCCCGTAGAAAGAGTGACGCACTACAATTACCTGGGCACCATAATAAATGAAGAATGGACCAACAACCAGGAGATTACAGCACGCATCGGAAAAGCTAGATCCACCTTCAATCGGATGGGGGCCTTCTTCAAAAGTGACAACCTCTCTCGTGATACAAAAATAAGAATGCTGTGATGCTACTTCTTCTCTGTCCCTTTTTATGGTGTTGAATAGTGGACCTTGAACGAAGATATGTGCAGAAAACTGGAAGCATTTTATATATGTGGCTATATCGGAGAATCCTTAAGATCCCGTGGACTGACCGAGTCACAGATGAGGAGGTTCTCAGAAGAATGAATAAGAACCAAGAGGTACTGACCACCATGAAATCTCGAAAGTTACAATTCTTCGGACATATTCGGACGAATGTCATTTTTTAACATTCGCGAATGCGAATATATGCCACCGACATTCGCGAATACGAATGCGAATATTCAGTTTTTTTTTTTAATTTGGCAATTTTCATTGTCTCCAGCACTGCCGGCAGTCTCATTTGCGCGAGGTGTGTAGTGTAACATCTGCAATTGGAAGAAGTCTGTCATTTTTAACTGTTTTAAATTGTCTAGTATCATTATATCATATTTGCTAAAGATGTGAAACAGTTGTTTACTGAGGGGTCGTTTAAAAAGGTGTTTATTTATAGTCACGTCCGGGCCAAAAAACGTAAAAAGCACGTTTTTCGATCTTATTTTTTCTTGTTATAATCAAATTTGACTTGTTATAAAGAGAGAGAGAGAGAGAAACAGAGAGAAAGAGAGAGAGATAAAGAGACAGAGAGAGAGATATATAGTTCCAATAGAAATTTCACGGGACACAAGTCACTCCACTTGCCCTGCTCTGCTTGTGCACAAATACAAGCGAATTTTGTTGTTTTTATTACTATGAGTAAATCAAATTATAGTGAAATATGGACTTATTTTTCACCACTTTTCAATACTGAACGAGGTAAATGCAAAGGTGTAACAAAGGGTGTTCGAGAAAAGGAAGAACTACAACATCTATGAGAAATCATTTAAAGGCACTGCATAAAACCGAGTTTTCCAAATTAGAAGAGTGTGAAAACCGAAAACAAGTTGCTTCTAAATCACTGGAACAGGCATCATCTTTCAATCAAGGTATTAAATCTGCCATGAAACAAATATCGCTTCAAGAATTTGTCGATAAAATGAAACAATGGGATAATAATTCTTTGAAATTATTGGCAGTGGATAATTGTATAAGTAAAATGGTTGCGTTGGAGGACTTGCCATTTAGTTTCGTGGAAAGTGTTGGATTCACAATACTTATCAAGCATTTGTGTCCGCCTTACAATTTAAAGTCGCGTCAGTATTTCACTTCGTTTATATGCGATAAATTATTTGGCAAAGTAAGTCAGAAAATTCTTGAATTACTAAAATCTTTCGAAAAATTATCACTTACTACCGACATTTGGTCTGATAATTGTTCTGGAGTTTCATTGCTGAGTTTAACTTGTCATGGGATAACAAAAGAATTTGAAAGGAAAATGATAGTGTTAAAAGCAGAAGTGTTTAATGAAGACCGCCACACCGGAGAAAGTATTGCTCATAAACTTAAAGATATCTTGTCGTTTTGGGAAATACCCAAAGAAAATGAAATGTGTAGTTCTTCATGCAGGTGCTTATATCAAAAAAGGTGTTAACTTTAAATGTTAAACATATTGACTGTACTTCTCACAAGATTCAAAATGTATTAAAAGCAGGGATGAAGGCTCAAGAATCTGTCGTGGCTGCCATAACAAAATTCAAAAAGATGGCAACTTATTTTCATTATTCGACTACTGCTCAAGATGAGCTGACCAATATACAAAAAAGACTTAATCAAAAACTGTCACAGAATTCTCATCGGAAAAAACTCGTGGCAGGTGATGTCGACCCTCTAACATGGTGGAAAGTGAATAAGGGACGGTACGATCTTCTTTTTCCTGTAGTTTGGCAATATTTAGTTACACCACCAACGAGTGTCCCTAGCGAGCGCTTGTTTAGTGGCGCTGGACTTCTTTATACGCCACATCGAAACAGACTTGGAGAAGAAAAGGCTTCAAAGCTTTTATTTCTAAAGTTTAATATTCTCTATTAAATTTTAATTATTAAAAAATAACAGTTCTCTGTTTTTGCTTATTGTTAAAAACAAACTTGAAAAATAAGTAAAAACAGACAATTGTTGTTTTTTAATAAGAGAGGCAGTATTTTTGTTTAATACAATCACAAAATTAATATAGCTTGTAAAATAAAGTGAGTTTTCTTAATAAAAAAAGTGAGACGTGAATGGATTTTTATTTTATTAACCTAATCTTCAAATTATTTTTTTTTCTTATATTCATATTCGCAAAACATTCGCACAAATTTTGCGAAAGCGAATGCGAATATGCAAAAATATGCGAATGCGAATATTCGCTACATCACTAGACTCCAAAGTCGCTCCTTTTTTGTCTATTTGTAATGCTTTGTAATTCGATTTACAGTAGCATATGAAACTTTTTTTTAAAGCCGCAGTTTGTAAAACACTCTCGTGTCGTTCCAATTCTTCACGTAATCCATTAAACACATTTAACACAATTTCTTTAGCATCTTTTGATAAATGTTTTTCTGGCTTTTTAATACTTCCTCTACTTGGTCCAGCAACATTTTTAGGATTATTTGGTGGTAGAATTTCGTTTTCTTCAACAATTTCTACTTCATTATTCTCAACAATTTCTAATGCACTATTCTCCCATGGACGCCACATTTTTATTTACTTAATATTTTTCTGATAGCGTAATCGTCACTAACAAATGCGTGCTCTCTTTACAAAGTTTAAATTAAAAATTATATCTATAACAATTGGCGATGTCAAACGAAAGAGGCGGCACGGTGCGGTAAAAATTTGAACTAGTGCACGTAGGCTAACAAAACATTTTGTATTTAGTTATATAGTTATAAACATTTTAAATATTATTAAATGAAGCACAATAAGGTAACAAAGTGTTAAAAAGTAAATTTAAACAGTATTGTTCTGCACGGCAATGCAGTAATTATCGATCGGAAGGAATAACTATGCACTTTTTTCCTCGTACAAAAAATCTACCAAATATTTCCTCGTACCAAATATTGTTGGGCACAGGAATTAAAAATTGGGAAATCCAAGTGATATGATGGTGTGTTCACAACATTCTTATTAACAGATTTTTTTTCAAGTAAATTTGCTGAACAGAATTGCAACATTTATTATATATAATGTGCCTACCTAACCTAATCAAATATATACAGTAACATAGATCTTAATTAAAATTTCTTTTACAACTGCAGCAGGGAAAAAGAAACCTTCAATGAAAGGTGTTATTTCCTCTCAATGCCTTCTTAAAGGAAATCACGAAAGAAAAATCAATGAGGAACTGGTGAATGCTAGACTAATGCGTAATAAAACACACGCACATTCCTTTCTGGCGGGCTTTCCAAGTGCATTTTACCACACGCTCGTCTCTTAACACATCCACAGTAATTTCATGTGGGGCACCACTTAAATTAGTCATTTGCAGACACAAACCTACTAATTTGTTATTATATTTGCCACACAACACAACGTGTCCAGCCTTTAACAAGGCCTCGCCTTCTTTTAAAGATCTTTTTGTGTCTCCGATATATTTCAAAATATGGAGCAGACTCACTTCAACCTCTTTATTTGCCATTGCGTTAACAAAAAAATAAATAGAAGATAATAAATACGGATAATTTTTAGACACAACAATCATTCACCTACAAAGATTATGGTAGCTCTGTGTTGTTTTCATACGTGTGTGATCAGCTGATCATCTGTCAAAGCGTCCCCTGTAGTTTGTTGACATCGCCAATACCGAAAGCCACATCCATGGTACAATAAACTCTCATGTGAATTTTATTGTACCATGGCCACAGAACTCTCTGTGAATTTTATTGTACCATGGCCACATCAGTCTTGATATCGGTCGTTCAGAATTTCGTGGGAATTTAAAAATCTTCGTCAGCACAACAAGGCTGTCACAAGAATCCGACAATCGTGTAAGAGGAGTCATAAACTCATAAATTTTTTTTGATAGGTATAAAAAGGAGCAACTTTTGACAGCAGCGTAACTAAAATCATTATTGATATTAAAGATAAAAATATTATTTTGATTAAATAGGCCTAACAGTTGTAATTATTTAAATATAATATATTTATAATTGTACCTAGTAATGAAAAGTTGTAATGAAGTTATATTTTACAGTAATTATTTTTGCGTTTTTCTGAATACTATCCTGTTACAAGACAAAATATTAAAGAGGAACTATTAAAACAAATGTCATTTGTTCTAAGCACTTGCATAAAAGTGTTATAGCACTTCTATACAGTGTGTAAAAATCAAATGGAATAAATTCATTATTTAGGTTACTGTACATATTTATAAAAAATCCCGAAACACGTCAAATTTAAATTATAACTTGACATTCTTTAACGTGAAAATGCAACACCCTTAGAATGACAGGTACAACCCCTAATTTTTAAAATAGGAAGTATAGGCTTGTGATATATCGTTTGAAAGGTCTTTTCATTCTCCATTCAAAAATGTTGTCGCTGTCAAGTTTATTAAGATTAATTAAGATAAAATAAATTAAAATCATGTGGTTACCGAAATTCGCTAAAATATACTCAAAACTTATTTCCCGTTTAGGTCTTGATAAAGAGAAAGTGAACAAAAACCATAGCAATGTGGATTTTAGATGGTAACCATTAAAAAACTTTAAAGAAAACCCTCACTGGATGAGAGAAGAACACACTCAATACCCTCAAAAGGTTATGTTTGGGCAGGGATTGTAGGAAACAATATCATTGGTCCCTTTTTTATTGAGGGCAACTTGAATGTCAACAATTATTTGGCACTACTTCAAAATGATGTCATTCCAACGTTGGCAAATTTATATCCTGATCCAGGAAACCCTCAAGTTTCAGCGAATTCGATATGTTTTCAGCAGGATGGAGCACCACCACATTACCAACTTAATGTCCGGCAGTACCTCGATACAATATTTCCCAATCGGTGGATAGGGAGGCAAGGATCGATTGAATGGCCAGCGCGATCACCTGATCTTACATTATTAGATTTTCTTTATGGGGATATGTGAAGAGCCATGTGTACAAAACTAAACCTGCTGATTTAAATGACTTAAAAGAACGAATAACGCTTGCGATTAGGTCGATCACGCTTGTTATGTTAAATAATGTTAGAAGACAGTTTTATTTGAGATTAGGATGTTGCCAAGACGTTCCCGGTGAACATTTTGAACATCTACTTCATTAACATTCATAGTTCTTCTTCGTGTTCTACATTTTATTACGTTTTGCATTACATTTTAGTTTTTGATTGTATTGTAGCGAATTTCGGTAACCACATGATTTTAATTTATTTTATTTTAATTAATCTTAATAAACTTTAAAGCATTAACATTTTTGAATGGAGAATGAAAAGACCTTTCAAATGATATATCATAAGCCTATACTTCCTATTTTAAAAATTGGGAGTTGTACCTGTCATTCTAAAGGGGTTGAAGGTAGGGGTTGCATTTTCACGTTAAAGAATGTCAAGTTATAATTTTAATTTGACGGGTTTCGGGATTTTTTATAAATATGTGCAATAACCGAAATAATGAATTTATTTCATTTGGCTTTTACACACTGTATATTTTGTTTGGTACCACTTGTACATCAAGTGGTCTATCTCTTTAAATTTCTCATTTATCTATGACCGGGCTATTATGTTTTAGAAAGTAATGAAGCACTGAAAAATGGCCGAAAAAAAACTATCAATTATTTATTCTTTTTCAAGCTACTATATTTTATTTATTTCATAAATATTTTTGACTTTATCTTTTCAGAGCATCTCTACTATAGCGATCTACCTGATTGTCCTGCTACAATTCAAGATAAGTTTGCTCAACATGAAATCTATAGAATAAAGCTTAAATTATATATATATTTTTAGAATAAACCGCTAGATTATAGACTAAAATAAGTATGTAGGCACAAGTTAAATGTTATTTTTGTTACAGGTTGATCTAATAAAGTTATCAACATAGCAATTCGAACGTTACAGCTAGCGCGGACACATTGTTTTTGATTTACTCGATCTGTCTTCTATAATATATAAATAAGAGGTAGAATATTGGCGTTTGAAGTTCCTAAAACCCTTTTTGTCATAGCACTATATTACTATTATTACAATGTAGTTAAGGTTTATTAATTACTATATTAATGGGAATAAGCCACAATTGAAGTTTAAAATAAGTTTATTGAAGTTTCAATTTCTACTTCGGAAATCGTTTTTAAAATACGAAACATTAATAAATAGACAAATTTTGTTGTTTGTTACTTAGTGAAAACTTCTTCTAATAATTTAATTCTGTCTGACTCATTTATATTGACAATTCAAACATATGTTACACATTTTAAAGTGGACGACTTTAAAATGATTTTGCCAATATTAGCGAGTTGTGTTCCTGGGACGACTTTATTGTAAGATAGTTCACTTGATTACATGAAATTAACTTTAACTTACATACGTCAAAAAAAACCATAGCAGGTGATTAGTCTTTAAAAACACATCCACATGCCATGATGACAGTAAAATTCTTCTGTTAGCGATTCCATAGT